GCCCCACATCCAATGCCTTCCTGATAATTTGCATAGAAAGTCCTAATATTTTCATTTAACTAACTTTCTAACTAACTGTCAAATGTCAATGTGAGGAATGTTTTCCATAAATGTACTTATTATTTCATATTAGCCTAAATATTTGTTTTCTCAATCGATACAATTCTGATATTAGTCCTAACACATCTTCAAATAAAATAAATCTTCATCCAATCAAGTTTACTTTTGTAAATGAGAGTTTTCAGCTGTTATGGTGAACATTATAAAGTTAATTTTTACCATTTTAAAACACTCTTCAGACTAAAGTTGTCTCATGACCCACATTTTAAACAATGTCCATACATCACAATATCTTTAATAAAAATCACAAACATTTCCACCTATAGGACTTTACTTTATTTCAGAGATCTTAAAAGTAATTTCCACCACAGAATACATGTAGTGTAATTACTCTATCCATGTATTCTGTGGAGGAAATTACTTTTCAGATCTCTGAAATAAGATAGTTGAAGACCTTTACTTGCTATTTTTTTGTGTATTTATCTACTATTTTTTTTTAATTTACACATGATTAAAAATGCTCTTATAATTCCAAAATTACAGCTTGACAGATGAGAATAGAAATCTATATACTCCAGTTCATACATAGAGCCCCACACCCAAGATGTCCTGATAATTTGCATATAAAGTCCAAATGTTCTCATCCAACTAACTTCTACAGTCCACAATAGACAAAGTTGCTTCATTTCTTTCCCTAAAAGTTTTCCATTCATCATTTATTTGGCGAGCACAGATAAGCACTGAATCGTAACTATTCTGCAACTGCACCAAACTGCAGGAAATTTGTCTGTTATTTGAGAGAGCAGATACCTATCACGTCCCCTGCACTGCTTCCCTCAACTCACACACACACACACACAGTCGGGTGGGGGAAGGGTAAAGGACTCAAACAAGAAAACACATGAATGTAAAGGCTATAGATTAAGGTTTGTTACTGTTACTTCCATTCAGATTTATTATACAGCATATTTATAGCCAATATATAGTTCTTTTTTTATTTACATATACACATATGAACATTGTTTTACATAATATGTATTCAAATAAGCAAGTAAAATGCATGCACTTTGACCTATAAAGGCTTTTGCAGAACAATCAATCATTCATTCAAGTAGATGTATCTCAAAATATCTGTGTTGTACTGTAGACACACTAACAGTCATCATGACTCTTAACGCTTACTAAGGCAGAATGCATTTATTGAGACAGAAACCATGCTGAATGTTACTGGAATAGGAGCGAGAAGTGCTTTAAACGCCCTCAGGCTAGGGACGGAAAACTGCTAAATTGAGCAATCATTTGTTCGAGAAAACTTTGTTTTTAAAATCGCTCAAACATAAAGACCCACAGAAGTCAGTTTAAGGCATTAATGGCACTTTTTTTATGGAAAATGTGACTTTGGAAACATAAAAAGTGGCTTAAA